ATGTAATGAGCATGGGCTTCCGTTGTACACGGCGCCGGCACCACTCGTTGTCTAAACAGAGAGTTTAACCTCAAAACTTTAATTTCGAAACAAAAAGAGATTTGTTAATTCTGACTTTGCTTTACTACCACTCGGTTTCGATGACGATGGTGGCTCACTGGTTTCAGTGACAACAGATGCCGATGTAGGAGTACTGCGAATACTTTCATTACCTTCATCGGAAGATCGTCTCGAGCTGTAATTGGTCAAATTGAGGGGGAAAACCGGTGAAAGGCTTAGTCATTTTTAGGCAAACCAAAACATCGTAACCAGTGGTCTGGATTACCTTGTAGCAAGTGAATGCATTTGCTCTGATATATACTCCACCTCTTCGTCGAATGTACTGCTTTTCGAGTCAGCTGACTGCAGAGAGACAGATCTGGAATATCTAACACTTATTATATGTTATTCTCATTTCAAACTATTCGCGACTTACCTCAGCACTGGTGGGGAGTGCGAAGGTATCGGAAAAGTTGGACGTTGACCTCGCTGGCCAAGTTTAAGATACCCTGGATCTCTGTCCAGAAAATATGCTGCATTTGACTGGTGCCATCTGTAAATTCGCTGGATAAAATGTTTAAACACGTAGTCAGAAAAAAAGGTGGCAACTGCTTTAATTCCAATTTACTATCAAAACAGTCCGTTGTAAGCATATAGAACAATATAAGATATTCCTACTTATACTATACAACGAAGAAAGAAAACCACAAATAAAACTCACGAGTACATCTTATGAATCGATGGATCCAAAAGCCTATCCAAAATAAGACCAAGCTTCTCGGTAGAATCTCTGTGCCTACAAACAAATATTCAGACGAATCAATTTCGTGCGATCTCATTTCAAGTTGAGAGCAAAAATCCTAAAGATATGAAAAGGCCGAAAGAGAATCTCGTATTATCTACTGACCGTGTCAACAATGCGATCGCCAATTCTCCCTTTTGTCTTCGAACAGCTTCACTTAAGAGCGGATAATCATCGTCAGAAAACAGTGGCCTCGCACCAACTGCATCAAGAGCAGCCTTCAGCGCGAGATCATCGTCCTGCGGACGGCGGGCACCAAGACGGTTTGGTAACATACGGCTGCTCGGTTGCCTGAATCAGCATCTCATTCTAGCGACTTTCAAATGTTCCAGACTGCAAGCAAAACCGAAATTCCATACCCATTTTGGTCAAGTTCGCACACATTATAGGCATAACTCAATCGATCCAGGATAAAGTGAGCCAAAGCAATTGGAGGCACAATTTGTGACGTGACGGCTGTTGCCATATATGTAGCAGCATCTCTCAACTGATCCAATTCTCGTGCGCCAATATTCACCGTTTGCAGCAACGATACAATTTCACCCTCCTAGAGAAATACTTTCCGATGAAGTGGTAAATGGAAAAAGGAGTTGTGAGAAAAGCAGAACATACCAAATAGTAGAGCTTCACTTGCAAATATTTTGTTGCCATTGGATATTTTGGACATTGCAAGACATTAAGCAAGAAAGTAAACATGCCAGGATGATTAGCAGTATCCGCGCTCAGAATCTAAAAATGAGATTGCAGTTTATGAGACTTTGTAACAAAAAGAAATGAAAGGAGAAAACGATACACTCACATGAGCCAAGTAAAGAGCCTTTTCCACAGCGTCAACAAATCGTTGACTACGATTGAAGTAAGATTCCACAGAATCAACTGCACCATCCCGACTACTGCTGGGAATGTTCGCCTAGAAGCATTCATGCACTTGTGTAGCAAATTTGGAGAAGGGATGAATTGAATTTCACTCACGTTATATGACTGTGTTTCTTCTGCATCGGAAAGATCTTGTAGATGTTCTATGAGGTAGTCAGATAGTTGTAGAGCAAGTGTTGAAGCCTTAAAATGCCTTTCAATTTTATCGAACCAAAAAATCAGCCCCTCACAACAGTAAAGATATCTCTTCAGAAAACATTTCAAAAAAAATGAATCAATTAATAAGAATCATTGTCAAGATGAGAAACTCTCAAACAATGGTAAACTAAATGAAGAGAGGCCAAGCGTGAAGCAAAAAGTGCCATTTTGCCCTGACTGGGCCCACCGTTTTGAAATAAATCGCTCATTTTCTATCATTTATATCTTGATTTTCGGAAAGTAAATGTAGAATTAATCAATCACAATGGCCCGAATATTACATTTCTACGAACTTTACCAAGGATTACCTGAGGTATATAACCATGTGCAGCCAACGCTTCACAACGAGCAAATCGAACTTCGATTGGCTCCATTGGAAGGTATGCCGCAGCTAGTACTGCGTCTACTTCTTCGTGTGCAGCAGATAAAGCACCGGCCTGGGCATCTCCCAACAGGCCAGCGGATGACGGGAGCTGAAAACGCAGTTGTTATTACTCTAGACCATCCTCTCCACTCTTTAAGTATTCGCTCAGAAAAATGAGCAAATAGAAATGAGATTAAAAGAAAGAAATAATTCACCTGTACGTCACTTTCCTGACCCGATTCCGAACTGTCCTCTTCGCGTAAACTATCCTGACGTCTTGCACGTCCATGTCGATCACAATCTCCCTAAATCCTCCTCTTTCGGTCTGAATATTGAGCAAGCCTGCCGAATGTCAACGAAACAAATGGTACGCAGATAAAATTAGTTTCTTGTTCCTGTCTCGCCTGACTGGTTGTTTTCTAATTTTTCATTTCAAATTATATATTTTTTCAATTCAAATTATAGTAAACAGACAAAATTGTCGCAAAACACTCACACCAACAGCAGCTCTAATGGCGTAACGAACGGCTCGATCAAGTGATGCCTCATCGTTAAATATCGGTAAGGGTGGGAAATCCAGGGACGCCATCGCAGCTACGGCGCGAGATCGGTTCTATATCATAAAGGAATGGCACTATCAGTAAGGTAGGGAACATGTCGAAAAAAAAACGAGAAAAACCCAAACCTTTTTCTTCTTTTTCCTGCCTTTCTCATTCCTTTTTTGTGAAGAACTGCAAGATGCAAGAGGTTGCACTGGCACGTTGGAATCGCCTCCACACGCCTGAGTAAGCTAACTCAGTATAAAAAATTTGATAGTTAAAAAGGTTTACTTGCCTACCTCAGGTAGATGAAGCACCGCCACCTGACTTACACCTGGAACCGTCTCGTCTATCAGTGCGTGGCACACCTTAAAAACAAATTTCAATTTAGAACCCCAGAACTAATCGTGACAATGTTCGCCAACTTGGAGGGACGGATGGAATCCGGGAAATTGTGCCAGCCCGAAGTGGGCATTGCTTGAAGATAATGGGCAGTTGTTTGCGTCTTGGATGGAATTCAGCAATATAGCCGCCTAAAGATAAAATATAATGAAAAACAGGGAACTAAACTGCAGTATTAAAAAATAATGTTACAGCCGATGAAAGAAGCGATAGCCGTCACCTGATGGCTGCTACTAACTACAGCTGCATCTTGTCCTCCAGTTCCACGAATGACCTTCCATATCCGGTCGACTGCTGTTCGATGATATGTACGTAATAGAGCAGCCAACTTAATAAAATCCACTTAGTGAAGAGATTGGACAAAGGTTCACAGGAACCTGTTAAAAATTTGAAAACACTATGACACTCAGAGGGTACAGGTGATAGAAGTGACTTCTTGAAAAAGAAAGTATTGCTCAAATTTATTATATGGCTCGATTTGAGGAGATACCTGCCGTCGATTCTGTGGAGAAAGCATCGGGTTCAGTACAGCACAACGCCAGAGCACAACGATTTCATCACAAAGTTGCGCGCTGTTCAACTGCGCACTGATCTGACTGCTGGCGGAGTTCTTGCCTGAAACACCCATAGCATGAGACGAATCTGAACATTAGCAGCAAAGGAACTGCTGCTAAATTTATATATTCGTCAACGCATTCACACTGCGAAATTAAATAATGATAACGGAACAAAATATTGGAACATATAAGGATAATCTTTACAAACAGTAAATGCTGAACTACCTGTGGTTTGTTGAGACCAACTTCCACTTTGAACAAGTTTCGTCGCATACCACCACAACAAAATCTGGAAAGCAGTAAACTATTTTGCGCATGAACTCGGACAGAAGCTTCGATGATAAACGAAACAAATACTCATTTCATTCGTGTAGTTGTATTAAGAAGAATCTCTCTCTTTGCTTTTTACAGCGTTTGAGATACACGTAATTGCTTTACAAAGCCTAGTACTATTAGAAGCGTAAATTTCCGCAAAACTTATGCTAGTAAGACATCATTGTTTTGTTATTGTACCAGTTTTTCTATTTTGTTGACAAAAGTAGATTGTTACTGATTGGTGGCTAGTTTTATAAAAAAAAATTCTGGAAAAACGAGGATGCAATGCAAAAAATGAATAGAAATTAATAATAACCAGTAAGTGCTGAGAACAAAATCGCGGCAATATCACTTCGTTGACTTATAAACATTGAACAACGTACCTGGCAATTAGCAAGACATTCAACAGTCAAAATGCTCAGTAGCGACACAGCATTCTCGTCTCTACGTGCGAACATCTCCCGAACAATCGCCATAAGATTCCAAATACCTTAACCACTAAGTTAATACTCTCGAGATAACATTCATATCTATACACGATTCTTAACCTTCAGGCTCTCTAGCACGGAGAGATTTCATCACCGTTAGCCACTCAGCCGCGATCGGGTGCTGTGCAGTACCAAGATATTGCACATCGCTGGAAAATTAATGACTCAAGAAGAAATAAGGAGGAAGGGAAAAGTAAAATAAGCTTCCACAAAATGCGAAAGAAAAACGAACCAGTGTACAGTTGGAGCTGGGACGCAGTACTTAATCAACAGGCGCCTGATACTAGTATGTAATCCATCAACGTCAAGAGCCCAAATAGCAGTCTGAATATGATGTTTTTGCTTGAATGTATACCTTTTGGACAAATAGCGATAATCAAGTGGCAATATTAGCCTGATACATTAACTTTATGTCCAAAACAACGAAAACTTAAAAGGCATAAGAAACCTGTTCATGTCCACCATCTGTGGGATCCGGAGCTCCGTGAGATTGATTTATCTCAGATTCCGGGCATTTCAGCTGATCGAGCAGTCTTTGTGCAATAGGGAGATACTAAACACACTTCGTAACTTGGTGTTCTCCTCTCTACAATCAACTGAACTCACCTCTTTCGGGAGCTCATTGACCAAATACTGTGCGAACTTTTTGAGCTTATCCACAGACAGTTCGTTGACGGAGTCCCAAATCGTGACCCTAAAAATCTCTTCTTTTCGTATGTTTTCCACGACATTTACTCAACCCCTTCTCGGACTCTAAACGTTGACCGACAAGATGGACGTCTACGCCCATCCGCAGACGATTACCGTTCCCTACGGTCGTCTCCAATCCTCTTTATTGTACCTCATTGCAGAACCAGTATTATTACGAATCGTAGGTTTTGTAAGATTAATCACCACAGGATTAAACCGTTGAAAGCAGTTCATAGCATACTTACCTAAATTGCACTTGGTTCGGTTGATGAATCCTGAACAAGCAAAGGGCGACCACATGCTGACACCAAGCCGATTTTGAAGGGCATGAACAGTCACATGATACAACTCTGCATCTGAAAGAAAGGAATTGAAGATTTGCACAATTCCATCAGCTGTTATTTGAGGTTCGAATTTCAATGAGATCCTCTTTGACCAGCGGTAATGGAATCTTTCATGGTGCTTGGTACGAAGCTTGTTCGAATAACATAAGACGAAATAATTATAGGGACACGTGCCAGGTACAGGAGCGTGCCTGACACAATACTCCACCAAAATCTAGGTTTTTGCGCATTTTCCGCTCCAACTGACCCGTAAAGGTTACACACACGCACACGCGTAAACTCCGGGGGAGACTCATTTGTTCCTTCAGTCGATTGGGACTGAGAAGGCTTACTAACAAGAAAAAGCTTACGTACTAATGGTAGGACAACAAATATCAAGCAAAACGACTGCATGCATCAATTATAAGCAATACAGGGTCCTCAATTGCACAAAACTCCGAATTCGTTTAAAAAAACATCTAGGCGACGTAATAATGGGCATAAATGAAAGAAACAATGGAACCAACCTATCTACACTTAGAGATACATTGTGAGTAACTCGACTAGGCCGTTGGATTTGTACGCAGTCTTGATGAGATGCACTGACTGTTGCTGAGAGCAAGTACCCTAAAAAGTAAGAATATGATCTGTTTTCGGCTTTGAACAAGGAGAAGCTAGCTGTATTTCATTGAAATAGATGAGGTAGACAATAATGTATTTTTGAACGCTAGAACCAAACCGAAAAATACTGTCATCACGAAAAACAGAGGCTGACGCACTTGATCAATTGCGAAAAAGAAGAATAGAAAAAGAAAAGTTTTCGGCTGTATTTCAACCCCGAATCAATCATGGGTGCACCTCGCGCCAAAAAAAAACGTGAAAACAAATTGTCTAACAAACAGTGAGATAAATAATCCGCTAAAGTACCTATTTGCACAACATCACGAACGGCTCCTATTTGGTACAGGTTATCACCATGATTGAACTCGTCCGCATTCCCATTCGCGAGACAACTAAAATGCGGATATCAGAATTAAGATTGTGAACAAGTAGCGACACATATGCATCAAACTATTCTCTGACGAAAGCTGCGTAACATTGCCTTTCTCAAATTTTCAAGGGATAACTGCAAGATTCAAAAGGATCGCTGGGAATGCAACCGTATAAACAGAAGTATTGTTAGAAGATTACGAACCTGTACAATCGTATATCATCCGCTGTGGCCGGGAAACACCAAAAGACTACGGAAAGAAACAGTTTGTCCGGCAACGAGTGAGAGACGGGAAACTCGCTCACCTGCAGAAGTATATCTACTAATTTAATTACACATTGACAATACAAACACTTAAATAGACAAATGCAAAATGTAAATGATTCCAAACCTGCTTCCTACTTTGACAAATATCACGGTAATTCCGTTCTAATTCGACAAACGATAACTGACGAGCACATACGCGCGCAGCTAAGTCCGACAGCGAGGGAACCGATTTGGAGCCTGAATTTAGTAGTCTTAAGCTGCGAGAAGAGGTGTGCATCATTACCAAATTAGGGAAGTAAAAGGCTCGTTAAAAAATATAAATTACTATGAACAACACAGTCGAGTAAAATACACTGAGCAAGGAAAATCGCTGTAGAGATACCTTTTTCCGTTGGAACACTTCTTTGAGTAACATTATTCGACGCCGATGAATACCGACCCGAATGTGAGTAGCTGCACTGGTAAGGGTATATACATGTGGATATTCCTATAAAAATAAGTTCAGAGATTAAGGACAACTACAATTCCAAAGGAAAACGGTAAACATAGAATTAGAATCGTAAGCTAAACCCACCTGATTGAAGGGTATCGCCGGGTGATGCTTGGGACCATCCACGCCAGTTCTTTGCAAGGGTAATGCTCTCGCTGGATACCCATGAGCATTCAGAGTCACCTTCAAAACGATCCGAATCCTAAAAATAGTTGCACCGTTGCAGATATGATCAAGCTCCTAGGTTATCCAGCCCGGTTAAGCCTGAAGGTGGCCATGGGAAAAAATGTCTGACTATTGGTCCTTTTCCGTTCGAAAGGTTACCGCACTTTCAAAAAAAATCTGCCGAACGCGCTCATCGTATTTTAATCAAAGACTGTTCAAAGAACATGAGAACTTCGGTGGCAAAAAAAAA